GCGCCCGGGGCCCGCCAGCCGCTGTGCCCTGCTCGCCCGCGGCCCCCGACGCCGCGACCGTCGCCTGCGGCGCGCCGTGTTCTGCGTAGCCCTGGCGTGTTGCATCACGGGGAGGCGAGTCCTCCGCAGGAAGGACGGCTATAGGCAGTAGGTAGCCCGCTCTCCCCGAAGAACTACAAATCCCAAGATGCACCGCGACAACATAACCCACAAGGCAGCGGAGGGGAGGGCGCGTTGTCTTTGAGATGGATCTTGGGAATTGTAGTTCGCTGAGGGGGACGGTGCCTGATCTCCCCCCACCACCAGCGGGCTGTCCGGGGAGGGGTCAGCCCCGGCGGGCTCTACGGTGGTGGTGCCCCTGCCAGCCAGCCCGGTCGGTGCTCTGCTCCCTGGGGCCACCCGGAGCTGAGTCAGTGAGGCCTCCGCCCCGCAGGTGGTGTGTCTGGGGCAGAGGCCTCAGGGTTTACCTCAGCATGGCGCAGGCCCGTCCATATGTGTGGCTGGACTTCCTGGGATTTCCATCCCGGGGAGGCTCCTCAGGGGATCTGCCAGGCTGTGACCGTGGTGCAGTGAGGACAGCACTTGTGTAAATTCAGAAAAAAAATCAATTTGTGTTGGATCATCCTGGATTTTCACCAGGACCTGACTTTCATTCGTTACTCTGTTAGCAACAGAAAGGGCAGCGCTAAAGGCCTACCCCCCCGACAGCAGTCCCCGCAGAGGGGATGAGCAAGGGAGACTCTTGTTAAACGTGCTTTCTCTGCTGTGAGTGCTTAGACTATTGGCATCATTTATTGTTCTGATTACGTCTGCAAGCTACTGGGTACAAATTCTATGCATTAGTTTTCTTTCTTTCCCAGTCACGTTGCAAAGAATTGAACTCATTAGGATATTCCCATCTTAACTGCGGGAGGACAAGACACATGCAAGTGCAATAATCCAACCCCCCGCAACGATGCCATGCACAGGTGCATCCCCACCTTTCTTTGTGTGTGCCACTGTATGAGTAAAAAGGTGGCAATGTATTGTGTGCAATGCATTGTCCTTCTCTACCTGATTAAAATTCAGCAGCTCCGAGAAGCGGCGTAAGCTGTCCCTTTCCATCTGGCAGCTTTGAGGAGAGAAGAGGGGAAAATGGTGGTGTGTACAGAGCCCGAGCTTTACACTGACAAAAGCATCTCATGCAACTGCCGTGTTCTGTGGGGACACATGAGTGCTCTCCTGCTGGAGTGGGAAAACTGTTCCTCCAGCTGGACGCCTTGTCACTGACACTAGTCCACCTTGGCTATCTCAGCCTCGGGTATAAACCCCCCACAACTCATCCTGGCACTCAGAAATATCCGTGGAATCACATTCCTGCCTGACAGCTGCCAGCGGCCCTTTCTCCCCACCACTTGTGACCAGCTCACACCAGCGTGGAGTTCGCTGGCATTGCGCTGTGCTTTCCTGTGAAGATAACCCCGGCGAGGAGTGCGTGCATTGAACTGTCGTAACGCCCTGCCCCGGTGTGATCCGTGGGGATGTTTCTCGCTGTCCGTTAGGATATAACTGGAACAGCTGCCCTATGCTGACGCAGTACACACAGCAGCATTGACAGGGCACGCTGGAGACTTCTCTAACCAGCACATAAATACTTTTTATAGCACAAAAGTCTCGCGTAAGCCCGCATTTCCTTGTTCTGTATTTTTTTAGGGGACATGGCTGTGTGTCCTCCCAGGGGGATCTGACTGGGGAATGAAGCAAGTGGCTACCGGCTGGAGCCGGGGCCCACAGCCTAGGTGGATTTCTCAGTGGGAAGGGAAGGGAAGCAGAGCCGAGCAGCGGTCCCAGCAGAGGGCAGCCGGACCCGGTGCTGGCACAGCTTGGCCTCTCCTCGCCCTCACCCGCGGGGCAGGGACGTAATTCATCAATTAGCGTCATTAGGGAACAAGCAGCAGAAGCCAGAGAGATGGTCTCTCTCTGCCTGAGTAAATCGCAGTTGCTTAGGCAGCAGCGGAAAAGTAGCAAAGGAGAAGGTGGTTATTTTTTGCACGCATTTCCCGCTGTCCTGGGAAAGGCTCCTTCCCTCTGCACAGCTGAAGGGCTGTGAGTGAGCAACCTCAAAGGCAAAACCAGCCTCTCAGCAGTGGACTGCATGGAGGAGAATCTACCCCAGGATTTCCTGGGGATTGCCACAAGTGAAAATTCCTCCCAATTAACAAATGACTCAAAGAGATGATGAGCATCGTCATTTGCCTTAGCGCAAACCTCTCCCATCCGGGATGTCACCCAGCTGCAGCACCCAGAGCAGCTTCTTACTTCGGTTAAATGCTGTCACCATCCCCAGCCGTGGCAGCTTGTTTGGAACTGCCCTGATGGTGCTGAGAAGGGAGAGCAGCCCATTGCCAATAACCACAGCACCAGCGCTGTTCACAGTCCCTGTGTTAGGCCTCTTCCTTTATTTGTAGGTGGATGCAGTGATCTGTCTCTCGGCTTGGCACAAAGGGATAGGCACCTGGTGTTTCAGGGTGGGGGGAAAGGGGTAAACCTGGTAGTTCGCAGAGATAACAAGGAGTCACGGGTTCTGCTTACAAGTCGGCCGGCTGTGTGACCTAGGTCAAGCAGTGTTTCACAGTTCTGAGATCTGTAGCTGGGGCATAAGAAAAACATAGCATTTAATCTAATCTGGGTATTTTTGCCCAACATCATAGCACACAGGCAAGGGTATTAAACTGTGCTGTTTTAGATAAAGCAGCCTATCCCCCAGGGAGGAGAACTGTGGACCTCTCCTTGCATCAGATCTCTAGTACAAAATTTATGAGATCTGTGAACTCTCCCTATAACCATGCCCTCGAGGAAAGCTTTAGGCAGTTTGCACAGTTCAGGTCATAAGAGGCTCAGAAAAGGAGAAATCTCACCTGTTTGCTGCTTTTGAAGACATAGTTCTCTCAATGGGATAATTGATTAGGCTGGGGGAAGCAAACCTGTAAACCTGAGGGAGAAAGTTTATTTCAGGAGAAATAAATAGAAAAAAAATGCTTTGAAAGTTACTTGTGTCACAATGACAATCAAAGCAGTGATTCTTAGTCTTATTTTCCTATGTTACAATCCCCCTGAAACCCATTCCTTTGGTTGACCAGGGAGATGAAGGTACTTAATTGCAATTTCAATTTGTAAAGGACCATCCTTCCAGGGTCCTGCTTTCTATCACAGATGATCAGAGCCAGAGCTGTCTTTTTTTTTTTTTTTTTTTAATAACATTACAAAAGTTTAAATAATATTTAAGAAATGGCTCCATGCCTGTCACAATCTTTTCTCGAGTTAACTAGGGGTTAGATAAAGCAGCCTATCCCCCAGGGAGGAGAACTGTGGACCTCTCCTTGCATCAGATCTCTAGTACAAAATTTATGAGATCTGTGAACTCTCCCTATAACCATGCCCTCGAGGAAAGCTTTAGGCAGTTTGCACAGTTCAGGTCATAAGAGGCTCAGAAAAGGAGAAATCTCACCTGTTTGCTGCTTTTGAAGACATAGTTCTCTCAATGGGATAATTGATTAGGCTGGGGGAAGCAAACCTGTAAACCTGAGGGAGAAAGTTTATTTCAGGAGAAATAAATAGAAAAAAAATGCTTTGAAAGTTACTTGTGTCACAATGACAATCAAAGCAGTGATTCTTAGTCTTATTTTCCTATGTTACAATCCCCCTGAAACCCATTCCTTTGGTTGACCAGGGAGATGAAGGTACTTAATTGCAATTTCAATTTGTAAAGGACCATCCTTCCAGGGTCCTGCTTTCTATCACAGATGATCAGAGCCAGAGCTGTCTTTTTTTTTTTTTTTTTTTAATATCAGTATTTGCTACCCCTGCCTTTCAGGTTTCCTCCTTTCTCAGCTCCTGTTCTCTACTCCTCCTCCTGTCGCTGCTATCACAAGAGCTGTAAACCAGCACCTCTTTCCATGGAAATTCTGATATCACAGGGAAAAAGTTACCCTCTGCTACAGCTGCCTGCAGAGAGTTCATGGACATTGCAATTGGCTGACAAACCCAAGTTGTTCCATAAGAGTGGTGTGAATGAAGTCTGGTTCCATGGGTGCTCGAGTTCTTTCTGCTCCATAAAGCTCTCGCTAAAAACTGCACCGTTGTGCAGTTCCTGTGTGATCCATCTTGCAAGGGACAGTGTAGGTGCCAGCCTGGTGCACTGCAGCAGTGGAGTCCTGCCTGCATTTTCCTCAGTGATGACAGTCATTTGGGTCCCTGTCCACCCAGCTTCTGATTCTCATTAAGTCTGCAGAAATGCAATTACCGTTGAGGGGTGTATCCTGTATTCTGTTATCGCTCTGTGGGGATGTGAGTTTGTTCCCTTCCTCGGCGGTGGAGACCAGCTTTCTGCCTGTGTTTGTGCTTTTGCCAATACCAGGCCTGGTATCATCTGCCCATCTCCAGTGCTCGGGAGCAGGTCAGCTGCTGGAGAGGCAGAAAAAGGCAGAGTATATTGTGAACACTGCTTCATACAGCATTGCTGGCTTTTGCATGTTTGACGAGATTTCTCCCAAAGGTTGTCTGCAGAACAATTTGAGATGCCAGCCTCTCATCATGAGGATTTGGGGTGGGGGCAATCGCTGTGGCTGGGAAGAGGGGAAGCTTCATTTTCCTCTCTCAAGGTTTTCCACCTCCAGCTCCTGTGTCACTGTGAAAGGACACAGATTGCATGGAGGACACATAGTTGGCAGTTTTCTTTTCCTTGTCCTGACAACCTCTGGCCACAAAATTAAAAAAGCCAGTTACTGAGTCTAGTTTTTTTTCTAACAGCTTTGCCCTTGCCAATGATTAGACAAAGAAACCTGGAATAGGTGGCTGTGGCTGGGCGCTGTGTGTGCCGAAATGCAGACGGAATTACCATGGGGACTGTTGCAGAGGCAGAGGGTGAACCTACATATTCCCTCACTCCCACCACCCCTCTCAAGCACACACACGCACACATGTTCACGTTGCTAGCAACAAAATGATTGAACTCTGGCCATTTTAACTGAAAAATTGTATTGTTCTAGCAACAGTGCTGGGTTTGTTGATTGACTCGGCCACAGAGCGCTGGACAGGGGCTATGATTTTGCATTGCCTGTGTGTTTGGGGTTTGGGATTAGGGTAAGGAGCTCAATGTGTTTGGGAAAAATCAGATGTCAAAACTGTAATAGTAAATTGCAAACTGTATAAGTAATTTGTGAGTGGTGTTTGGGACCAGAGGCTGCCTGGGATGGGTCTGAAACTGCAGATAATGCTCTCTGCATGCAGGCTGAGATGTCCATCGAAAGACAATGAATGGAGACTTGATAAGATGTCCCTCGTTACCAGTTCTGCAGAACTCAGTGCTGGGAAGGATTTGTGGCAGAGAAAGAGAGACAATTCCCCCGAAATGAGGAATTGGGGTAGTATGAAAGAAAGTCCAGGTTAACCCCAAGAGGGGAAGTAGACAAAGTCCAGTATGTGTGCAGGCATTCC